GGTATCGAGGTCGATCCTTCTAAAATCAAGGCCATCTTAGAAATGCCACCACCGAGGACTGAAAAGGAGGTGCGAGGCTTTCTGGGTAAAGTGCAATTCATAAGACGGTTTATTGCTAAATTAACCTTGACTTGTGAACCACTCTTTGGTCTCCTGAAAAAGGGAAAGAAGTTCCAATGGGACGGCTGATGCCAAGCAGCTTTCGAGCAGATCAAGCAATATTTACAAAAACCCACCTGTGTTGTCACCGCCTGAGCCGGGGAAACCGTTGATTCTGTACCTTTCAGTGACTGAAACTACAATGGGCTGCATGTTTACACAAGAGTCTGAGGACAAGGTGGAGAAAGCTATCTATTACCTGAGCAAGAAAATGCTAGATTACGAGACCCGCTACACTCCCCTGGAGAAGGCTTGTTTGGCCTTGGTATGGGCTACCAGGAAGCTATGGCATTACCTGTTAGCTCACTCTGTAAAACTGGTTTCGAGATTAGATCCCATCAAATATCTCTTCGAGAAACCAGCACTTATGGGTAGGCTAGCCTGCTGGTTGCTTCTGCTTTCCGAATTCGATCTGAAGTATGTAACGTGCAAGTCAGTAAAAGGGAGAGCGGTAGCGGAGTTCCTAGCCGATCACCCAGTTGAAGGGAATGAAGCAGTTGAGTACCTATTCCCAGATGAGGCCATTTTGCATGTCGAAGAAGAGATTTGGATGATGTATTTTGACGGAGCGTTAAACCAATACGGGTATGGGATAGGGGTGTTGCTGATAGCACCCGACAATTTCCGTATACCTCTAGCATTCACACTCTAGTTTAGAGTATCGAACAATGAGGTAGAGTATGAGACATGTATTGCCGGTTTAGAAGCTGCCCTAGAACTAGGGGCAAAATGGTTGGATGTCATCGGGGACTCGAACCTTGTTGTATCTCAAGCTAAAGAAGATTGGAAAGTTAAAGAAGAAAAGATGAGAATCTACCATTAGACCTTGGACATGCTAATTCCTCGGTTAGAGAAACTGAATTTCCCCCATCTGTTAAGAGAGAACAACAGGTTCACAGATTCACTAGCAACTCTATCTTCCATGATAGACATCCCTTTCGGAGTTCGGATGCGTCCGATCATCATCGAATAGAAATTTGTGCCGGCCTACGAGCTGATTGCCGCCATAGATGAGGTACAAGATGAGAATCCCTGGTATTACGATGTTTGGAACTTCTTAGAAAAAGAGGCGTATCCACCAAGGGCAAATACCAAAGATAAGAGGGTAATTCGAAGAATGGCTGCTCAGTTCATCGTCTGAGGGGGTAAACTGTACAAAAGAGGTCATCTCAGGATGCATAAACTGTGTGTTGATGCTGAAGAATCCAAGCGCCTGATGCAGGCTATCCATGGAGGAGAGTGCAGAGCGCATATGAACGGGGTGATGCTAGCTTGGAAGATCCTTAGACAGGGTCATTACTGGTCCACAATGGTGAAGGATTGTATTGGCTTTGTTCGACGATGTCACAAATGTCAGATCCATGCGAACCTTATAAACATTCCGCCGTCAAAGTTGTACAACATGACTTCGCCATGGCCATTCTCAGTCTGGGGGATTGATGTAATTAGGGCTGTCACTCCAAAGGGGTCCAATGGGCATGAGTGGATTGAGGCCCAATCCTATGCGGTGTTAAAGGCATCGCATGTCGCTAAGTTCATCAGGAACAACATCATCTATCGCTACGGGGTTCCGATTGAGATTATTTCGGATAATGGTTCCCACTTCAAGAAAGAGGTGATCGATTTGTTGGAGAAGTATAATGTGACTTTTCATAAGTTGTCCACATATCGGCCGCAGACCAACGGAGCAGTTGAGGCCACCAACAAGAACGTTAAGCATATACTGTAGAAGATGGTGGAAACCTACCAAGACTGGCCAGATAAGCTGTCATTTGCTCTATGGGGCTACCGGACTTCAATTCGAACTTCTACTAGAGCAACTCCGTATTCTTTGGTTTATGGGATGGAGGCTGTTTTGCCTATCGAAGTTGAAGTTCCCTCACTACGGGTTTTGGCTAAATGTCAGATAGCTGAGGCAGATTGGCAGCAAAGCAGGTTCGAAGAACTTATGCTCTTTGATGAAAGAAGGATGAAAGCACTGTACCATGTTCGGGGTTATCAACGCAGAATTGCCAAGGCTTTCAACAAGAAGGTTAAGTCCAGGAATTTGAAAGAAGGAGATTTAGTGCTCAAAGACAACCGAGCTCCGATCCACGACCCTAGGGGCAAGTTCAGACCCAATTGGACTGGTCTTTACATCGTTAAGTCTATCTGGTCAGGTGGAGCTGTCGTTCTGATGGACCTAGATGGCCTAGAGTTCTCCCAACCGATTAACATGGACAAGTTGAAGAAATACTTTCCCTAAGTGGCTCGCTAGGCCGAAAACCCGAAAGGGCGACCTAGGAAAAAGTTAGAGCACATAAAATTTGAAATAATAAAAACTGAGCTCGCAAGGTTGAAAACCCCGAAAGGGCGGCCTTGGCAAAAGTTAGAGCACAAAAGGAGAGAGTTAATACACGAGTGAACCCGAACTGAACTACGTAAGGCTTGATTCCCATCTTTGGGATACGTAGGCAACGTCATTCTGAAGTCCAACCATAAACACTTCCCCGATCAACTTTGTCCATGTGATCATGTTTGGTCATCTTTGTCTATTCTGCATTCAAGACCTCAGTTTGTGATCTCCAATGCAGTGCTATTCAGACTAGGGGCAACTTTCCAGTTGCTGAGGATTCGGGATTATATATCTCAGTGATAGATATCGGACATGTCCAGTTTTGATCCATATCGAAAATGGTTTTGAAAAGTTTTAATAAAAGTTGATTTTGCTCAAATTAATCTTTTTACGACTTAGACCATTTTTGGACCAAACGAAAAATTTTTAGTACTCACAACCTTCAATTACATTGATTTCAATACAGAACTCTCCTACTCTTGAATACAAATTGAAGTTGCTTTTATTACATTCATAAAGAAAACTTGAAAACACTGATTAAAGCAAAAAAATTCGGGGCATAGTCAGGTGTTCCTGCGTCCCCTCCCAGAGCTTGTCGAAGCCTCTGATGCCGAAGTAGGCCCGGTCTGCGCCTCGTTATTAAGCCAAGCCATGCACTCATCAGAGAGGGTGTAACTGAAAGTGGGAGCGGGGGCCAGAAGCTCTCTCGTCCTCCATGTCGTGGCATACCGAGCTAGCTGTGCGCCTCGGACTAGAAATGCAACAGGGTACTCTATCCCTTCCTCTGGGCAAGTCTGATCATGTCCAAGCTGACACTGGATTCGAAACGGAAAGTAAAGGACACAGTGCGTCAGACCGATCAACTGAATCCCAGACCGACGAGTCATGTTGTAGCTCATCGCCGGTAGATTAAGCTAGGGGCAGCGCCAAGCAATGTCAAGAGCAGTCAAACTACTCATCCATTCGTACCACCGTCCCTCATCAGGGGCATCGACTAAACGTCGCTGGAAGAAATAGCTGCGAGCTGAATATGCTGGGCATGAGTCCACAACCCTTAATTTATCCATCAACCATATCTAGGAAGGGATGAAAAATGAGAGATTAAAGAATAGAGAGGTGCATGTGAAGAGAAAAGTGAGAGGAGAGTTTTGAGAGAAAAATCAAGCTTGAGGGTCGAGTGATGTGAGAAATACAGGTCAGATAGGGTGGGAAACATTACCTGCAGCAGTAGGGGACTCCCCGCGAATCTAGTCGTCTCTTGACGATGGAAAGTGTCCAAACCCATCAATGTCTCGGCTAGTGTCATGGCGATACAGTTTTTGCCCTCTTTCAAGCCCTCGACAACCTCAATCAAACGAGTACTAAACCCTCCAGAGCCTGGGGCAAGCAAGAAATGTGACAGCATACATAAGCAAAGTACATGTCGCCAGAAACCCTGCCAGTCATGGTCGCCGCGGTCGCCGGCATTAGAATATCGACGAACCAAGCTCGGAATGTCCAGCACTCCATCACAAATCAATGACCGAGCGTCATGCAAAGTAAGCCAGCACATCCGTCCTAAGGATTGGACGTGACCGAATCGGAATTGTGGCAAAATCTCTTCCTCGCGCTCGGACTCCAATAGAGCTTGGAAGTCTTCGAAAGTAGGACATATCTCTTGTCCACCAAAGCTAAAGACGTGGGTTACCGGATTCCAAAACCTTGCCGCGGCATGAAGGAATGGAAGACATAACGGGGTGCGACTCAGCGTGAATAATGCATTTATGCCGAAATCCCAGAAGTTCAGCTTTTCCGAGCCATCTAAGTTGGCGATCCAATTTGTGAGATTTTGGACGAGAAATGCCTCCATTTTGGTGCAAAACTGAGTTAAAATGAGGAAACTACGAAGTTAGAACCTTTATGAAGGATAAGGCACTATTTAGAGGACAAGTGTCAGAAAACTGGAGGTCCCCAGGCTAACTGGTCGACCAACCACTTTTTCTGGTCGGCCAGCCAATTTTTCTGGTTGGCTAGCTACTTTTCTAGTCTCTAGGCCAAAAAAGTGGTCGGCCAACCACTTTTGGTGGTCGGCCATGGAGCAAAAGTTGTCTACAGCCTTTTCCTTGCCTCCAGAAGAGTCTCTAGCTATCCTGTGTGCAGAGAGTGCTGAAGGTCTGAGTTTACCTCTATTTTGGATGCATTTCGTTGCTTTGTTTGTCTAAAATGCATTTGTTTATCGAGTTGTTGCTCATTTGCTTATCGAGTTGTTGCTCATTCGTTTGTCGAGTTATTGCTTTTTGTTTATCAAGTTGTTGCTCTTTATTTATCGAGTTGTTACTCTTCGCTTATCAAGTTGTAACCTTGTTAAAGTCTTGTTGTTGTTTTTAGGATTGAGTCGTTTTGTTGCGTCGGTTCATTACCTGACTTGGCAATGCACGATGTTCAAATTCCATTCAATCCATTTTTTTTGTGCAAAATGATGCGATGCGATGCTTAGTATACAAATACAACACTTTTTGAATGAAAAGTCGTTTCCATTCCATTATGTTTCCTTTTTACAACATTTTACAACAGGGTACAAGTTTTGAAGAAAATAAAACTGCCTAAGCTGTACAATGTGCTACAACTACATGTCAAAAGAAAAATAATGCAGGAATATCTGCATCAGTGCTATCAAGCTCAAGACCGAGAGGCCCTCTTCACCCTCTTCGGCTGAGTAGCCTCTGCGCCACCGGCACCGGCACCTTCATCTAAATCGGAGTCACCGTCCTCGGAATCCTCCTCGGCGTCACCTCCGCCCTCAGAACTGGAACCAGAGCCGTCATCCCTGCCTGCAGATGTCTCTGACTGTGGATGTGCTGACTCCTCCTCCTCGCTAGACTTGTCATCCTGTCTAACAGGTGCTCTGCGTCCCCTCAGGCCACATGCTGAGACTCCTCTCCTAGCCGCTCAAGAAGGCCTGGATGGCCCAGTTTGTAGAGGTGGGACCTGAAAAGGACAATTTGAATGCATCAGCCAGTATGTATATCAGATGCAGATGCGAGAATGATACATAAAGTGGGCGCATGCAGATATAGTATGTGAATATGATGTGTTAGATGTGCTCTACACATACAATGAATCAATGAGTGAAATGTTCAGTTTCCATATGTCATCAGAAGTATAATAAATGCAAGGAAATTGAAAAGTACCCAAACGCCGGAGGCATATAGCAGCGTCTCCCTTTACAGAACCATACTCTCGAGTGAGGCCACCACTCCGAGTAAGCCCTCAGTATACTCCTTGGGAGGCTGCAGACACAAGTTCAAGTCATCAGTGAATGAATGAATGAATGTCTAAATATCTGAGTGATAAATGAAAACTCTAAAATATACTGGTGGTGAGTCAAGGTCACTGACGTATCGATGGTCGGGCATCGGAGGCTCCAGTGGAATCGGGTAAGAAGTCCCATACTGCCAGCCTGTCAGCTCGGTCGGAAGATCTAGTCATCCAGCATACTGCCAAGTCGAGGGCATCCCTCCAATCCTGGCTCTCGATGTGCCTGCCCCGCTGCTATGAAAGAATGTCTCCGGCTCGGGCACGACTTGAGGAAGGCATGTCAGTAACTCTCCTCCTGGGGGTACGGACACCTGGCAGCGGAGGCATCAGGTACGTATGGCGATATGTCGCGTAATCCCCCTCCACGAAAAGGATCGCGTCAATACCCAATATAAGGTCCTCCGCCTTCCGGGGTGTGAGACCTCCTGCGGACCGCATCTCTGGTGGAGGCAGTGAAGGGACGTCCTGATTGGAGTTGCCCATCGTCTGGCGCATGAAACGCTCTCCGAGAAACCAAGCCCTACCGACCGGCTCCTCAAACAAGACCCTACATTGGGAGGAGCCCCATGCCCCAGCAAACAAAAATCGAGGATTCCCTGGCATGTCGATCCAAGGCTGCCAGGTCACCTGCAGGTAACAAGTGCATAAATTGATTAGATGTCATAAATATGCAAGATGAATCAAAGCTGAAAGCATGAAGAACTAAGAGTTCTGGATCACTTCCGTTGCCCGTATAGTATCGAAGAATTGCCGAAGGTAGAGCTGAGTCTCCTGAGGCCTAGGCCAGTACCGACCCTCAAATCTGCGTGAGTAGGGGATCGCAAGAGGTGCCTCGACCTCGAGCTCAGGGGCTAATGGCCGGAAGTACGCGTAAACCCACAACTGTGAAAGGCAAGGCAGTGGCTATCAAAGTACAAGATATATAGAATGCAAAATGATAAGTGCAGAATCCAAATACAAAATTAGAAAATGTAGAATGTTGAGTGCAGAATGCAGTGTACAGATATTGAAAATCAGAAAATGTAGAATGCTGAGTGTAGAATGCCATGTGCAGTGTGCAGTGTACAGATAATTAAAAGCAGAAATGTAAATCAAGAGAGTAGAATGTACCTCCCAGGCTCGCCAGTAGCCACCTACTATGGCCCCCCGCTCTCGGGAGGTCGCGCTCATATAGCAGTAAAGGGTAGCGAGGCCAGCGCCACCCCAATTATACTGACTGACCTGTGATAGGTCCACCAGGGCACTTAGAAGGTAAAGCCCGACTGTGTTCCCCCTGTCGGAGAATAGAGTGGTCCCGATGAGGAACATCAAAAATCCCGGGGCATACTGTTGTATGGCCTCAATGGTCATGGGCGTAGTCCTCATGTACCGCTCGGAGAACCAGGTGTACCTGACCCTGCCTGATGATCTGTCGATCAGCGAACGGGCTCCGAGCAGATAAATCCAAGTGGCCTCCCACTCACCCATATCTACATCGTATGGGATCGGCCAGCCTGCCACGTCAAGGCCCGTCAGCATGGAGAATTCATATGGGGTCATCGTCATGTCCCCGATGGTTGAAAAATGGAAAGAGTTGGTGGTGTCCCACCATCCCTCTACAAGTGCGCCCAAGAGGGTCCTGCTCACTGGATGACGCGACAATCCCGCACAGAATGGGCCAAACCCAGCCTCGTCCACAATATGTCGGACAATGTCTGGGAGCTCCATATACCACTCCCTCGCAATGATCGATCCATAACCCCGTGTGAAACGGGAGGATACCTTTATTCAGAATGAACAGATGTATTCAGTTTTAGATTGAAAAGTATGAGCTGTGTGTTCAAATTTGAAAAGTGTGAGCTGTGTGTTCAAAATGAAAAAATATGAGCTGCGTGCCAAGGAAAAAGTATATTGTGTTATGGATTGTGTGTTCAGATTGAGAAGTGTGCAATAAACCGAATACTGTGTTATGAACTGCGTGTTCAGATTGAGCAGCGTGCTATGTTATGAAAAAGCATATCGCGTTATGAACTGCGTGTTCAGATTGAGCAGTGTGCTATGTTATGACAATAAACCGAATACTGTGTTATGAGCTACGTGTTCAGATTGAGCAGTGTGCTATGTTATGAAAAAGTATACCGCGTTATGAACTGCGTGTTCAGATTGAGTGGTGTGCTATGTTATGACAATAAACCGAATACCGTGTTATGAACTGCGTGTTCAGATTGAGCAGTGTGCTATGTTATGAAAAAGTATATCGCGTTATGAACTGCGTGTTCAGATTGAGCGGTGTGCTATGTTATGACAATAAACTGAATACTGTGTCATGAACTGCATGTTCAGATTGAGCAGTGTGCTATGTTATGAAAAAGTATATCGCGTTATGAACTGCGTGTTCAGATTGAGCAGTGTGCTATGTTATGACAATAAACCGAATACTGTGTTATGAACTGCGTGTTCAGATTGAGCAGTGTGCTATGTTATGAAAAGGTATATCGCGTTATGAACTGCGTGTTCAGATTGAGCGGTGTGCTATGTTATGACAATAAACCAAATACTGTGTTATGAACTGCGTGTTCAGATTGAGCAGTGTGCTATGTTATGAAAAAGTATATTGCGTTATGAACTATGTGTTTAGATTGAGCAATGCTATGAGCTGTGTGCCAACTAAACAGAATACTGTGTTATGAACTGCGTGTTCAGATTGAGCAGTGCTATGAGCTGTGTGCCAACTAAACAGAATGCTGTGTTATGAACTGCGTGTTCAGATTGAGCAGTGTTATGAGTTGTGTGCCAATTAAACAAAATGTTGTGTTATGAACTGCGTGTTCAGATTGAGCAGTGTTATGAGCTGTGTGCCAAGTAAACTGAATGCTATGTTATGAACTGCATGTTCAGATTGAGCAGTGTTATGAGCTATGTGCCAACTAAACAGAATGTTGTGTTATGAACTGCGTGTTCAGATTGAGCAATGTTATGAGCTATGTGCCAATTAAACAGAATGCTATGTTATGAACTGCGTGTTCAGATTGAGCAGTGTTATGAGCTGTGTGCCAATTAAACAGAATGCTGTGTTATGAACCGCGTGTTCAGAATGAGCAGTGCTATGAGCTGTGTGCCAGCTAAACGGAATGCTGTGTTATGAACTGTGTGTTCAGATTGAGCAGTGCTATGAGCTGTGTGCCAATTAAACAGAATGCTATGCTATGAACTATGTGTTCAGATTGAGCAGTATAATGAGTTGTGTGCCCAAAATGAGCTATGTGCCGAATTAACAAAGTGTTATGTGGTGAGCTGTGTGCCAAATTAGCAAAATGCTGTGTATAAACCGTGTGTTCAGAATGAGTGAAGTGTTGTGTATGTAAATATGTTCAGAACGAGCAGATATGATATATAGCGAAAACATGGAATGTGCGAGAAATGCAAAAGTAAAGTACGCACCTCATGCACGCGATGAGATAGATGGGACTCCAGCTCCCAAAGCAGCAGGTCTGCGGACGCCCGACATACAAAGTCCATGAAGTTGTGGAAGGTGCTAGGAGGTAGAATATGCTCCTGCGGGTCGTACTCCTCCGGATCGGGCGAGCGGGGGTGCTCATTGCATGACCTTCCCCTCTTGTACCCAAGTTCCCAAGCCGAGGAAACTTTGGTGATGACGGACACGTGACCTTAGGCGCGAGTCAAGGTTTCCTAAATTTCCCAAAAATAAAACATTTAGATGGCGACTCTGTATCTGGCAAAGCAGTCCATGTTTGGCACTTGTTTATAAAAATTAGTTTTTCAAAACGATTTGCTAGATTTAGACTCTTTGGTGATTTACCGGTCTCGCATTGCACTTTGTGAGATTAGATTCAAAACCGTGACATTGAGTCCGAACTGTAGTAGCTAGAGAACAAAACGAGATTTCGCGCCTTCGCAGCGTGGAGCCCGGGAGTCCTCGGGGCACGTCTACAATACAGTACGCCTGTTCGTTCACACCACCTTTCCTTCTATCGCATGCAACGCGTTAGGATTGTACTTCGGTTAAAAATAGTGGATGCGCTCGTTGTTCACACCACCTTTCCTCTTCTCACGTGTGACGCGTTAGGAATGTTCAGTTAAAAACAGCGGGTTCGCCTGTTGTTTACACCGCCTTTCCTCCTCTCGCGTATGATGCATTAGGATTGTTTACCTTGGTATAAAAGAAGTAAGTGTGCCTATTCGTTCACACCACCTTTCCTCCTCTCGCGTGCGACACATTAGGATTTTTTACCCCGGTTAAAAATAGTGAGTGCGTCTGTTGTTTACACCACCTTTTCTCTTCTCGCATGCGACGAGTGAGGATTGTTTACCTCAGTTAAAAACATCAGATGTGCCTGTTTGTTCACGCCACCCTTCTTTCTATCGCGTGAGATGCGTTAGGATCTTGATTGAGACCTTGGGTGCGCTCGATGGTTGCGTCACCCTTCACCCTTCCTACGCGAGGCGTAGTTAGGTTTGTATTTTCTTACATCCTTTCTACATGAGACGTAGTTTGGTTTGTTCTTTCTTTGTCCTTTTCACACGAGACGTGCCTATGGATTCACTTCTTTCCGTGTGAGACGTGGCAGGATTTGTTTTACTTTGATTTGTATTTTAATTCAAATGTTGTATTCTTGTTTACATTGTAGCATTGTTTCATTGCTTCATTTACTTTATGTTTCATTGCATGATTATAAGTTATTTGCTGCATTTTGTTTGTGTTTTGCCCTCGAGTTCAATCTTTGCACTTATGTCTTGATTTCTTGCTCAAGCCATCCGGCCTTGTCAAATGGATCATCTCTGGGCTTTGACATTCACTCGTGTCACTTTATGATTTCAAGCTTTGTCAAAGAGGAGCAACTATGGACACCCTATTTTTGACAGCCCGCAAGGCTCGAACGCTTTGTCCGATATACTCGATGATAAAAGTGGTGTTGTGCATGGTTCGAGGTCTCAACGAAAAGGCCATGTTTAAGCTTCAAAACAATCCCAAACCTCCCATATTCCCATAGATTTTACCCAAGAAATCTATTTTTACACATTGTGCCACCCTATGCTGAGTCTGAAGTAGAAAAACAGAGGAACACATTGAGGCCCGGCCGTAGCTATTGAAGGCTGACCATGCCTTAGTAGTGAGAAACACTATTCTGGGCGTGAGCCCGCCAGCTGTCCATTTTTGAAGATATTTATGACCCTTCTTGCTCAAATTCTATAAAAACGGCCATATATCTCTGTTTTGAGGGTTGAAGAATTTCTAAAAAATCTCTACACCTTCTTGAGAGCTCCTTTTTCTCCTTCTTCTTGTGCAAGTAACCCTTTGAACAAGCCTATCACCTTGACTCTATATCCATACACCATATACACTTTCACACCTTAGCCTAAAAACCTTGGTTGAGCCTTGAACACCATAATTCAAGCTTGAGAGTGTGTTGGGACTAAGTTTGATTCATAAGCAAAAGCTCACTTCTTTGAGAGGTATAAGCATGTCATCCTCTCTTTTACTCTTTGTTCTATCTATTGCTATCTAGTTCTTGTAGTTTTGTGTTGTTTTGATTCTCTTCCAAGTGTTTGAGATTAGGTTTGGAGAGCTACCAAAAGGGGAGAGAGAGTTTATACTCTTTCTTACACCTTTACCTATAGCTCAAACCGTCACTTTTACACTCTTTTTCTTTGCTTTCTAAATTGAGTTTCAGAGTTAAAAAAGAGGCTAAAAATCATGCTTTAAAGTCTCAAAAGTGGATGGGTTAACCACCCCTCTTTGTTCTTGTTTACTAGCTTTGTTTTCTCTCTTTGTTGATTAGCTTTTTAAGCTCTTTTCATGCACTTTGAGCCACTTTTTCATCTCTTGAGGGCTATTTTAGGATTGTTCTAAGTTGTTTAAATAGTTCATACCTTGATTAGCTTAGTTGTTGCCTCATAAGTATGCATACATAGCTTGTTGTATATTGTTCTTAGCTTTTCCTTATCTAATTTCCATGTTTAAGAACCTCATTTTTATAATCAACTTTCCATTCATTTCTTTCATTTGAGAATTATTTCAATTGATTGACGGTTATTCAAAACGTGAACTAGCGATTTATGCTTAATGGCTTAATCTCTACGGAGGTTCATTGCCAATGGTGTAGTCTCTTTTTCATGTTGAGAATCACCACCTGTTTGACATATTTCTCACTTAGTGGATGTAATCTTTAGTGGACGTAACAATCATCTTGGACTTAATAGATTAAAGGATAGCAAAGACTAATGAATTTGGCTTAAATTGAACCAACTTACATAAAGAAAATGAGTTATATTGCTTGGGGTTTAGCCGGATGTTATGCCGAGTCCATTGTGTCAAGGGTTGTCTTACATCAATTCATGATGTTTTGATGAATCTTGAAGTGTCTCTACCTCCCTCTTTGAGTTCACTCTATGATAGGAGGGAGTGGTGGTTGTCGTTCATTGCATTTATTGATTTTTGTCCAAATTGTACCTGAAATCATCAAGTAATCAAGTTGCTCATTGATGGTTTTGGAAAATAATTCCAACATTCTCTTGAGGCTTTCCCATGATAGAGAAGTGTGAGAGGGACAAACAGAGTTCAGAACACTCTATCTGCACTATTTTCACTTCAGATCACAAAATAAAATTTTACATGAAATTGAGGCACGGTCGGCCTTCTTTAGGCCCCGACTAGGCTTCATTGAGGGTCGGCCAATCTTCAATGTTTGGTCAGCAGTGTATTTTGCAGAAAACAGAGGGCAGTGGCTGAAAGTGAAATAGAGCAAGCCTAGGCAGACAGAGTTGTTCTTGGATATTGTGCATGCAACCATTGTGCATCCTTGTATCATTGTTGTAGATTAATGTAATTAATTTATTATAATTAGTGTGGGGGCCAGATAATTGGAAGAATCAGAAGCGTAATCTAGAAGACAGATATTACTCGGCTCTTTCCTGCACGATCAGGAAGCCGAATAAAATAGATAAGCCGAGTAGATACTGAACTATGGAGCCGAGTAAATAACATGATAATGAGTGAAAAGTGGACCTGGCCCCGAGGCCCAGGAAACGAGTATAAATAAAGGAACAACAGACCAAGAAAGGTATGTGAAAATTGTTGTGCTTAACTTAGAATATAAGTAATCTTGAGAGTTGAGACTGACTTGTCCGTCGGAGTGCTAATTACGGCACCCCCGACCGGAGTGTTTATTCCTTTTCAGGTGACTATCAGCGGATCACGAGCGTTCCCCAGGATTAGAAGAGTATTTCCAAACCACTTCTCTACAATTGGCGCCGTTTGTGGGAATACTCAAGCATATCCATGGCGGGCATGACGGAGGACCCTCCAATAGTCACTGATGAAACCACGTAGAGAGACGACCTCACTCCACCAAGTATGCTTGGACTGGACACCATCCCCGTAAGACGCGCTCTGAATTTCGCCTCACCCTTGACTCCAGAGCATGAAGCAATGCAAGCGATCATGGAACAGGCAAAGCAAAACAAACAAAGGTTAGAGAACATGATCGTAGAAAACGAACGTCTTCGTGAAGATATGGCCTTGGAAGTGGCGAAGTCCAAACAAGCTGTACGCCTAAATCCAGAACGACCTCCGAAGGCAGGTGGTTGACGACCTCGAGCCCGACAGGACGACACTAATAGTGACTCCGACTCGTTATCCCCGGAGCCCAGGAAGAAGGGACGACCTGAAACTACCAGTTCTTCTGAAGAAAGTCCCCGTATAAGGCACAAGTGAAGAAGGAACAGTTCGGACGAAGATCAACACGATCCATTTGTACGACAGATTGCAAAGGCAGTCCTACCCAAGAAATTCAAAGCACCGTCATTCACCTTGTACGACGGCAAATCAGACCCCACCGACCACATCCGCCACTACAAGCAAGCCATGACGCTGCATGCAGACGACAAGGCCCTCATGTACCGAATATTTCCCAGCAGTTTGGGACCGTTGGCTATTAGGTGGAATTATAAATTGGAGCCGGCTTCAATCAAAACCTTCCACCAATTACAGAAATCCTTCAGGGCCAGATTCATCACCAACGAGGTCCAGCCGAAACAAGCCGACTCTCTCTGAGCAATGCAAATCCTGCCAGGAGAAACACTAAGAGCATATTCGGCGCGATATTGGGAATGCTTTAATCTTGTTGATTATGCTTGCAATAACTCCATGGCCATCACCACCTTCAAAATGGGATTACATCCAGATAGTGCCCTCCGTAGTTCCTTGACTAGAAGACCCCCCAAGATAGTCTGGGGGTTGATGAAGAAAGTAAAGGAATACTGCAAAGTGGAAGATGACGCCTTGTGGGTTAAAGCCGGACACATGACCAACAAAACAGCCCCTCCTGAAATTGCTCAGCCAATAAGTTCTGTACCACCTCAGAGCCCCGAACCACGACAGCGGGCTAAACGAGACAAGAAACGGGATTCTCGCTGATCAAGCGATCAATGCTCACACCGAGCAAATGAGTAACTGCAAGTTGATAGTAGGCGCACAAAGCGCGCCGATAAGAAATACACGGAGCTGTCAGAGTCAATCAGCTTGGTTATGTCCAAAATCCAACATCTTCCGTTCTTCAAAGGTTGTCCAAAATGGTGGGACCTCCTGACACGAGAAGACGGGATAGGCGGTGCGAATATCACAAAGATCACGGCTATGATACGGACAGTTGCTATGCTTTGAAGGACCA